GCTGGTGAAAGCACAAATTAATTTCTTCTTATGCTAAAATTAATTGTATGCATGGAATTACAATTTTAAAGAACTTTAAAAAAATCCTTAGGAAATTAGGGTATGATTTTTTACAGGAGAATTTCAACAGAAAACACATCAGCGCAGCCTGAGAAGGTTGTGGGCACGGAGGAGCCGTCAGCGACTCAGGCGGCAACGTGGGCGGTTCCGGCAGAGGGGAGAGTCTGGGAAGAACCCACAGGGTGTGTACACCGGCATCTTCCACCCCTGCTCTGGCTCCGGGGACCTGAGGCGCCTGGGAACGCTGGAGGCGCTGCCCCAGTGTCTGCTGGGTGATTTCTTCCTTTCCCTCGGGCACCACGGCCTCCCCTCTGGATCCCTCACCTACACCCAAGTTCTGAGATCAGCCCTTCTGATGCTGGGGTGAGGCTCAGGTCCTGGGGCAGGCTCTGCCCACCGAGTCCTGCTGATGCAGAGAAGCAAGGAGACGGGAACACTCCCAGCTGGAAGGGTCACCGTGCGGTGCAGCCCGGCTGCCGACACCTGGGGTGCAACTGAGCAGGCCTGTCCGTGGGAGAGGACGAGATGTCCCAGAGGGATGGCCCTGAGCTGAGGCTCTGTGGGCCAACAGCCAGGTGAGGCTGTACACACTTGGACCACGCGGTCTCTGTCCCAGCTCCTCACGTTTGCCCTTGCTGTGGAAGCAAGCACGGTTAATGCGAACGTTTGCGAACGGCAGGGCTGTAGCCTAAGGACGCTTCCTTTCGGACACTGGAATAGGAATTTTGTAACATTTTTGCATGTTTAAAATACTGGTCTTCTGCTGTTCTCCCCCAACCAACTAAACACGGGAAGCCATGACAAGCTCCAAACGTGGGGACAGTGCGCTGGGTCTGGCCCCAGGCCTCCGTTTGCAAGCTCTGGAAATGCAACGTTCTCACCCCGTGCTGTGTGCGAGGACGGACGGCGCATTCGCTGCGTTCTCCAGGCCTCCTCCTTAGAGGCGCAGATCCACCGCGCTGGGTGCGGCCCGGAGACCGCGTGCCTGCGAGCACTCTGAGCCCCTCTGGCACAGCTCTCTGGTGTGGCAGTTTCCGGAGGGTTGCCACTGGGGAGGCAGCTCAGCCAGGTAATCTGCGGGTGGCATCCACAGCCCGTAACCCTGCCCGTCACCGTGATCAACGGGAACCGGCGTTGCCATCAGCTGAACCGCATCAGCACACACGCTCTCCCTGGGACGGCTGCTTGCAGGCATCTAAAGCCACGCCAGGGAAACAGCGCCCCTTGCTCCGTCACAGAGGCAGAAACACGGCGTGGCACCGCGCGAGGGCGTGGCACCGTGCGAGGGCGTGGCCCGCTCACCACCCAGCTCTGGATGTCCGCGATTGGAGCAAGGGCCACCTCTGCGTACGGTGAAACCTTGCGCTTTCCGCAGCATTTGGGGGTCTGCCCTGAGAGGTGCTCCTGATTAACATTAATCAGCAAACTACAACCCACGTATGCAAAAACTCGCCTGAAAAACAAACTCAGGAAGATTTAGAAATTCGGATGACGGCACGGAAAGCAGGAGGCCCTGGGCACCTGTCAGACCCTGCAGCGTGGAAGCCTGCTCACGCGTGATGTGAATGCTTATCCGCTGCAGGGTCGCTTGAGAGAGAGCTGTTTTCGACCTCTTGTGTGTTGCCGTGGATTTGTGCCCCTCGCACCCCACGCTCCCACCCTCCTTGGCTGACATCATTTTAGCCTCTCTCTAAAACATAGGGGGCAGGGTGGAGTGGGAGAGAACTCGATTTCTTAAAAAAAGATTTATTTATTAATTTGAAAGGAAGAGTTTCAGAGAGAGAGAGGGATAGAGAGATCTTCCATCTGCTGGTTTACTCTCCAAATGTCTGCAATGGCCAGGGCTTGGCCACGCCAAGCCAGGAGCCTGGAACTCCATCCGGGTCCCTCATGTGGGTGTGGGCACCCAAGCACTTGGGTCACCTTCTGTTGCCTTCCCAGGCCGTTAGCAGGGACCTGGACCAGGAGTGGAGCAGTGGGGGCTCGGGTCCACCCTCATATGAGACACTGGCCTTACAGGAGGCGGCTCGGCCCGCCTGTGCCACAACGCTGGCCCCCAGAGAAGTGGATTTCAAACGCACAGTTTGTCGTAGAGTTACCGTACACGGGTGTGACGTGTGCCCTGCACAGAGTTCTAATCCCAGGCATGAGCGGTCAGATAGGCACTGGCACGGCAAAGTTCGAGCGCACCTCCTCGGGTACACCGGACTTGAAGCTCAGCAGCCAGGGGCACTGGGGGGAGGGGCCCGGCGCGTCTGCAGGCAGGCACAGGGCTGCCGCCCTCTGAGCCGCGGGCACAGCTCCTGCGGCACGCACGGCTTGTGAGGCGGGCACAGAGGCTACCTCTGCCTTTACCGTGCCTTACACAGCTTCTCAGGGGCCCGGCGGCGTGGCTGCCCCCTCCACACGTGCACACGCGTGTGCCCCACTCCTGTGAGCACACGCAGAGCCGGCCACCAGGAGACAAAGGATCTCAGGACTCGTTCGTGACCTGACCCCAGGGCCATGGGATTGCTGATTTCTGTGAACAAGCTACCAGACAGAGCTCCTGCCTCCTTCCTTACCTCACCTGGAGGCATAAGGAGAGAACTGGGCGCCCCAGGCGCCCCAGGAACCCAGCTCTGGAGCAGGCGTCGGCGCCTGGCTGTCGAGTTCGGGCACTTCTCCTGCTGTGAGTGCGCGACCTGCCAGCTCAGGCCTGTACTGCGCCCTCCTGCCTCTGCCAGGCCTGCCCTCCCTGCGTCTACGAGGGAGCTGCATCTCCACAGTGTCCCACGAGCCCCGGTAAAGTGAGAGAGCGGCCCCGGCAGGACCCCTCACAGTGTCAGAGTCCCTGAGCCCTGGAGCGGCCGGAGGTCACACTGCCCAGCTTCAGACATCCATGCACGGCACCGCCTGTTCTCCACAGCCCTGGTGCGAGGGTGCACTCGCTTCACTGAAACACGGCGTTAGAGGTTCTTCCTTTTTAACTCATTGCCATTAGCAGTGAAATCAGTCTTTTCCTAACACACATGGAAAGAAACAAAAACGAGGGTGCTCCAAGCAGTCTGTGGGAAAATGGAATTAAAGGATACTTTATTTTGGTACAAAAAACCTTGGGAATGGTCTATATTCATGATTACTTAAAAAAAACAAACAAAACAAAAACCATGGTTCAACTGCAAACTGCCTGAAACTCTTCTTTTACTGTACATGGGAAATCACTGTCCACATTTTCCCAGAAGGCAGGAAAACAGCTAGTTAGGTTGATCAAACAGGTAGCAGTTTCCCTCAGCAATATTTATGTTCACATAGGAAACGAGGTGACTGTGCCATGTGTTAGCCCTGATAACACCGGAAAGTGCCAGGCAGGCCACGGTGCCGGCGCCCTGGCCGGAGGGATTCCATCCTGGGGCAGGTGGTCCGTGCAGCATGAGCTCTGGTGGCCACAGTGGACATCCCCCCTCCACCCCCCACATCAGGACCCTCAGCAGACGCAGGCTGCAGCCTGGCCCGACTTGGAGAGACCCCACCCGCGCCACTGCAAGGGCACCCCTGCGGCTCCCACGTGGCGCTGTCAGAGCCGCTCACTTCTCTGTGCTATGCGCTCGACAGGGGTGCAGACCCCACACATGCTCACCTCCATCCGACTTACATCATAGCCTGCCACTTCCTGAACACACAGCCACGGCACCGAAGTTAGCAGCTCCTAGGACCGTGGCCGTGACTGCGCAGGGATGACCCCGCCCTTCAGAGCAAGCGAGGCCGGCACCACTGTCAGCCCCCGCCGGCCGAGTCGGCATCTTGTCCGAGAGGAGAAACCAGACTCGAAGCCGATCTCCCCGGCCCTGACGCCTGCCCCTCAGTCACAAAGGAAGGCACCTCCCTGGTCTGCTCTTATGTCTCCGTCGCCCTCTGCTAACCCGACAGGGCCAGCTCTGCCGCCACAGGACCCCTCCGTGTCCCTAGTACGTTATCAGGAACTGTGCCCCGAAAACATTACCAAGCTTTTCCCTCTGCCTGGAACCAGGGGGACACTCAGCCAGCCCGGCGCCCGCTGGTGCTCAGAGGGGGTGGGGAGTGTGCCGCCCAACTCTGCATAGATAAGGCTGCCTCGGGCAATGGGGACCCTGGCTCCCAGGGACCCTGAAGCGTAGACACAGGTGGTTCCAGCTCCCCTGGAACCCGTGGGCTACAGAGACCGCCTGCCTCTCTCAGGCAGGAATGGAACGGGAGACAGGTCTCCTGGCTCAGCGTGGGGAACAGGGAAACCAGGGGTCAGGATCTTCGCCGACTCCAGGAGGCCCCCAGGCTTCTCTGCTTGTCCTCAGCTAACCCACCCCGAGGTCTCTTCCACCCAAAAGCCTCGGGACTGGGCAAAGTGTGAAGCAGCAGAGACGCACAGGCAATCCCAGTCAGACGGCGTCCTGTGCTGTCCACGCTCAGCAGGTGCAGCCCCCACCTTCAGCCTGGAGCACATACTACGAGGCGCCCTGGTGAGGGACACAGAGAATTCTATTTCCTTCACCCTGTCAGGGTCGCCGGGGCATCAGCAAGGGCAGAGGAGACGAGACGCCGGCACTGGGATGAGGAGCCACACCCACGTCTCTGACCGGCCTGCCTGGCTCTCAGAAAACTCACCAAGGTCTTCGTTTGAGCAATTCTGGCTAAAAATGGCACAACTTGAGTTGTGGGCTTTTCATGTGTTTGCACAGGGTCCCTGGACACGGATCTCAAATCAACGCCTCTAAAGGTTTGAAGGTAACACTGGTGATAACAACGGCAGAGTTGGTGCAACGGCTGTGACGTGATAACCGCACGGGACCAGGCTGTGAGCCCAGGCAACCTTCCAGCCCACTCCTTACCAACAGCTCTCGAAGGCTCACTACTCACACTGCGCCTGCCACGGAGCACGAGCGCAGGAACGCACGGGTTTCCACCCCTCCGGGGAAGGTCCCTACCTTTGACGACCAAGTTGCCAGTACTGCTGGCCGTTCCGAAATGGTTGGTGGCTATGCAGGTGTAGCTTCCGGTGTCGGCCTTCGTCACGTTGACGATTCTGAGGTCCCCGTCTTCAGAGATGGTGATTCTGAAACAGCAAATGAACCCAAGGTGGTGACGTTTGTCTCAGGAGGCACCGGGAATTATCCCGCCTGTTCCGTCACCGTTCAGCTGTAAGCTGACCACGGCCTGTGAGGGCCGCCTGCACAGGATGTGTGTGCACAAATACACACACACAGAACCAGGGCTCGAGGCTCGTTCAGTGTTTGGAAGCCTTTATTGCGGAACGGGTCTCAACGTTCAGTTAAAGCGACTGTTTACGGGTATCAGACGGCTTGTCACCACTCTGGGGTGGCTCTTACCACGTGACAGCAAGGATGGCTCCTGTAGGTCACTGCTAGTATCTCTTTTCCAAAATTGTTTTGTTAAAGCTTCAAAATTTATTTAGTTTCATTTTATTTGAAAGGCAGACACACACACACACACACACACACACACACACGCAATCTTCCATTTGCTGATTCAATTCCCCATATGCCTACGATGGCCAGGGCTGGGCCAGGCCAAAGTCAGGAACCTGGAACCCACTGTGGGTCTCCTACGTGGGTGGCAAGGACCCAGCTACGTGAGCCATCACCTGCCGCCTCCCAGGTGCACGTCGGCAGGAAGCTGGACAGAGAGCAGAGCTGGGACCTGACGCAGGCACCCTGAGGTCTCACCGCTGCGCCCAGCGCTCGCCTCCACCGCTCCTACGGCTGCTGGCAAGCAGAGGGAGAGGCACCCCTGGACTGACCCCTGCGTGGCTGTTCATTGGAAGGGTTTTCTTTTTCTAGAGAAGATGCTTAAATTAAACAAGAAACCATTGAACATACTTATTCCTGACTAAATCAGATGCAAAACTTGAACTTAAAAAACTAAAACATTCGACAGCTTGGATGGCCTCGCTTGGGTCCCTGCTGAGACTCCGAGGGTCTTGCTGCTGACACAGCACTGGGATGGGAGGCCTGGCGGAGAGACTGCTAGGAGCTAGGAGAAACAAAGGTGAAGGAGATGGACAGCCCGGTGGAGGCCGGTGGGAGACATCAAAGTGCTGGCAGACGCTGTGCCAGGGGAGCCCCCGCCTGACCCAGCTGCTGCTGCGTGACTCGGAGCCGAGAGGCAGGTGTCCGCACTCCCCCCGTCTGCCTTCAAGGGTGTGCATGGCAGAGACGCGTTTGGGCCCCAAAGGAGGTGTAAGTGCCAGCACCACCAGAGGAGACGTAAGAGACGCCCACTGCTGAACTGTGCTCGCCAGTCACCAACACGCAGGCCGATGCCCTTACACAACGGCCAAGCTCGGCGAAGGCGAAGGTTTACAGGGAGCTCAAATACACCATGAGACGCAGGGATGCCATGTCTGTGTTGGCCTGTATATGAGAACTGAGGTTGCACGGTAACGTGCCTTGAAGCTACAACCTTTCACACGTGATTTAGTGCCAGCTCAACCACTGTCTTGGTTGAACAAACGCAGATGAGCAGAAGGTGGGCCACTCCCACTCAGAGCAGTCGCTCACTGCCCTCCAGCTGAGCCCGCGGCTGCACGGAGCAGGTGCCCTGACCAACGCCGGGCGGCGAGCCACGCTTCACGACCCCCACAGCCACGGAGCAGCTCCCCAGCAGGTCATCCTCCTCCTCCTCCTCCTCCTCTTCCTCCTCCTCACAACACAGACTGCTGGAGACCGAGACGTGGGCATGAGAGGAGCCGGTGCGTCAGGCGGCATTTGTGTTTTGAATACAGAGTCATCTTCCGCGGGGTAGCGGGGTAGCAGGGTAGCGTGGGCCTCGGGGCTGGGAAACATATGAGACGTCCCCAGGGGCACGCTGGGTTTCCAAGTACTAACTTCCATTAGCCATCTGTTCCTTTTAAAGTCCTATTACTGGGATTCCAAAAATTACTCAAAACACTTGCCTATATTAAACTGTGAAATGAATATGAATAAACGTGTTGAGGATCTGTCCTCGGACAGCTCGGGATCTGGTGCTGTCTGGAGTTCTGTGACCTGTTAAGATGGCCCCTGCCCAGGGCTGGAGCAGTGGTGCAGTGGGCTAATCCTCCACCTGCAGTGCCGGCATCCCACATTGGTGCTGGTTCGAGTCCCTGCTGCTCCTCTTCCAGTCCAGCTCTCTGCTATGGCCTGGGAAAGCAGCAGAAGATGGCTCACGTCCTTGGGCCCCTGAACCCACATGGGAGACCTGGAAGAAGCTCCTGGCTCTTGGCTTCTGATCGGTGCAGCTCTGGCCGTTGTGGCCATTTGGGGAGTGAAACAACGGACGGAAGACCTTTCTCTCTGTCTCTCCCTCTCACTGTCTGTAACTCTACCTCTCAAATAAATAATAAAATCTTAAAAAAACACACGGCCCCTGCCCAGAGACAGGGCTGCTCTGCCTTGCTGTGCCGGACCCTGGGCTGGGGAGGGCACCGAGCAGCTCCCCCAGCCCCACCTGCTCCACTCCAGGGCCCCATGCTCGCTCCGAATCACAGCAATCAGACATGACCAGACACTGTCAGCTCTCTCTGGCGAGGTAGCAGCGTTACCCAAGTGGAGAACAACTGTTCAAAATCAGTTCTTTTAGGAAACCTCACAGATCCTGCCATGAACGTCTTCCACCATGAGATGGCACACGGCAGTGTCTGTTAGCTGCAGAGTGCTCCACAGATCTCTGTACCCCCCGCCCCGTCGTTTCCATGTCTGCCCCCTCCCTCCTCCTGGGGTCTCACCGCACCCCACACCATGCTGCCGCAGCGTGGGACGTGGCGGGCTCTCTATTGTCCTACTTACGGCTGCCTTGGGGTCTTGTCCACAAAGCTGCCCTCCGCCATCTCCCATGGGCGCAAGGGACAGAGCAGCTTCACTGCCACCATCCTCTCCAGCGTCGAGACGTCAGGCCTGCCTCCAGGCTAACACTGGCATCCCCAACAGCGGAGTTATCGATGAGCAGGGACACAGGGCTAAGGTCCCAGCGGCTGAAATTCCAGGCCGGAGGAGGCGAGTGAGGGGGATCATGTGTGGAAGGAAGCTTCCCACGTTGCTGCTCCCCAGCCGGGACCAGGTGGAGGCAGGACCCGTCTGCCGGGAGCTCAGCCTCTCCTTCCCCACGCCGTGCAGGGCAGGGAGGTCAGAACCCTGGAACTAAACCACCTGGGCTCCACTCGGGGCCCACGACTGGCACGGTCGTCCTCCGGTATCTTGCGTTCGCTCATTTCAGAAAGGGCAAGAGTCGAGCTGACGGCCTCTCACGGGGCTGGGGAAGAGACCCCGCCCAGCACGTGCAGCAAGCATCCGCCAGGGCTGTGTGGGAGCCACCGCTCCAGGCCCTCACGGAGGCCGGCGGCAGCCGAGGCAGCTGCGGAGGGGCTCCGCCATCTGGGGTCGCACGACACATCATCACGCTCTCGCCGCACACGGGCCGCCAGGCAGCCTGACCTCAGAAGGGACAGAAACATCACTCACGGGCATTCACTAAACACCTGGCCTTGTGCAAGTGCGCAGTGATGGGAAAATCATGGATCTAGAAATACCGCCAGTGCGTAGCTTGGCACCTACTGCATTGAGTGCTTACAGGAAAGGGTGCGAGAGCTGTCCTCATGGTCATGCACCATCAGTGTGGGCGGGGACCCACCTGGCCCGTCAGGAGAGCCTGTTCCCTTGTCTACAGTGACTGCCTTAGGGGTACACCTGCCACCCAAGCCAGGGGCTGTTTGAGGAGACAGGCGCTCTGCTACAGGACTGTTAAATGGGGAAGGTGTTGGCAGTTGTTCTCCCTGCTGTATGGAAACAGCGTGCCTTAGGGAGGCAAGCCAAGACCAACCCGAGAGAGAGCCAGGGCGACTGTGCGAGAGAGCGCCAGGGCGACTGTGCGAGAGAGCGCCAGGAAGACAGTGCGAGAGAGCGCCGGAGCAAGCCCGAGAGCCCGTGACTTCTTCAAGCCCACTTCAGTCCACGCCTGGAGTCGGCAGCACCCCCGGATGCCCTAGCTCTGTGAGTCCATAATCGGAGACACTGGAAATAAGAGGTTCAGACCTCACACCTGGCAGAGTGCAAGCTCTCTGAGCTTCAGTGGACTTGTACAGGGGACGGCGGCGATGGAGGCAGAGGAGGGAGTGGCGTCGCGACAGAACCTGCCGCCCGCGACCTGACAGCGCCGTCCTGCACACAGCGAGAACCGCAAGCAGCACCTGATATTTCTTCACTGACACAGTGGTGTCCTGCGAGCACATGTGGCCACTTACGTCTGCGTATCGAAGCCAGGTATACAGCTGGACCCGCTGCCTTCATTTTGCTGTAAAGCACTGTAAGGACCAGCGAGGAGGTATGGTTGTCAGGTGCCAATCTGGACCACGTCAAGGAACAAGTGACACGCTACTCGATACTAGCATTCAGTACTTGCGTCCTTTCTATCTAGATTTTATAGCAGCTTACAAGAATAGTCTTTCAACGAATATCTACAGTTTCCCATGACCAATCGTGCCTGGTCCAGGCTGACGACTGCTGCATTTTCGTGTCTGTGTTCTGACATTTCTAAACTTCTGTGTGCTCCGTTTCATCTTGCTTTCTCAGTTTGCACGCTGCCTGACCTGTGCTGCGAGCTTGGTCCTGAACTTGAGCTCCTCCCCCTGCTCGTGAATCCTGACAGAGATAAAAAGACTGAACATGCAAACCCATGCCTGGCTCACAAAACAGACGGGCCCTGACCCACCTGCGGGCTCCTTCTACATCACTGATGCTGCCAGAAAGAAGTCGAAGCTCAGCAAGCAGCAAGAAGCTGCCGCTCAGGACTCACTTTTCCTGCGAGGAGCAGCCCCAAGTCCCACCCCAGGAGAAGTCAGCCCTCTGCCACCCGGGGACTGTGGAGCCGGGAGCACAGGTGCACGCCTGGCCAGGAAGGAGAACCTCTCTGAGTGAGGCTCCGGGTGGCAGAGCTGGCCTGGTCAGTCCTACAAATCACATCACAGGACCTTGAAAAAGCGCTGATCTTTCCTTCCCTGGGGCTCCAGTATCAGCTGACGAAAGCTGCCAACTCCATGAGAGTCCATCACCGGACACGGGA